CCTACGCTTCGGAAGTTGCTTTACCTACACAGTTTACAGAACGTATGTGTTTTTGAGTTCTCATTGAAGTGGGTATTTTCCGGACAAGGCTTCATTTAGGACATTGGAAATAAAACCGTTGTCATTTGTTACGTAGAAATCAGTTTTGATTGCTCTAAGTTGGTGTTAATAGGCTATTATGTAAAGGTTATAGCTTATAACTAAAACAGTTATTGGCGCGCTAGGTGAACAAGACGAGGGAAAATAATCTGACAACGCTCTACGCAGAAAAATAACTGCTATTGTCAGACTCGTGGTAAAAAAAATCACTTCCACCGTTTCAAATGAAAAGGAGTATTTCGAAAAAAATGTATGTTCCAAAGATCAATTAACATTGAATGAAGTCCACTCCATACCATTTCAATGGGGAGGAAATTGACGGAATGAAGCATGCTTTTGTTGCCATAAGTAGCCGCTTTCCCAATTTGAATGAAAATGAGATGAGCAAAAAAAATAATAATAATAATAAAACGAAGAAAATTTCACGACGCGATGAGTAATAGAAGATGCGTTCTCGATCACCGGTTCCAAAGTTTTGAATAACAGCTACTGGGAGGCGTTAGTTATGATGTATGATAAAAAGAATACGTTCTACGGTTTATTTATCACAAGATTTGTATTTAGTTTTACAATTATTGATAGCAAATTGTCGAAGCTAGGCATGCGTAGGTTTGCTTGGCGCAGTTTTCAATGGTTTTACTTAGCGCAGTCGCATCGCGGCTATGCCTATTGCCTCTCTGTCGACAAAGTACTATTTTAGCACCATATCTTATAAAAAATTTTGTCATTATAGGTATGTCGGCAATCTTTAGCGATGAAACTATCATAAAAATCTTACTTGACCTACCTTCAGATTAAAAGTACGCTATTTTATTATGTTGTAGCAATTCTTGCCACTAACCTCGCAGAGCGAATGATTAATTACTGATCATACTAAAGGTAATGAAGAAATATTCTAAATTAGATGTGTATAAGAGACAGGAGAGGGTCTGGTAAGAGGGAGTGAGAGGGTCTGGTAAGAGGGAGTGAGAGGGTCTGGTAAGANTAACACGACTGAACTAATCTAAAATAACTTGTCAGAGTCCATAATGTCTAATGAACGAGGCAGACCAAATGCTCCTTCCTGCATCATTTGGCGGTAGGTAACTCATATAACTCATTTTCATTCATTGTCTTATTACTAAACGCGTTCATATGAATCAAAACGTTGAATTGAAACAGTGAAATATACATTTTAAAGCAAATATATGGAGTTCTCATACACGTTTTCAATTCATCAACATACAATAGGTATAATGAAGGAATTAATTTTTAAGGTAAAACAACCGGAATAATTTGAATTGTTAGTATTTCATCACTTTTATTATCCAAATTCCGAGTTGAAATGATCAGAAATTACATTTTTATCAATATCGAATTTGGTTCATATCAATCACTGGATTGCAAAAATTTGTGTAGATGATAAAATGGCACCAAAGCAATGCTACATTTAAAAAAAGTTTTAGCTCATCAGGCAGTACTGTTTCTAATTAAAATTCTATATTAGCGGTGAAAAAGGCCCGAAAATTGGGTAAAGTAAGGTAGGTAGTGTTTAGGGCAAAAATAACATAGATGGACTTCATTCTCATTTGGGTAGTTCACTTTATAGAAGGGTTTGCCAGAAAAATTCGTATTGTTTGCAAAAGTCAAAGTTGCTTCAAAGTGTAAATCTTCCAAAACCAAGCTAATAGCAGACTTTTATTGACAATATAACTACAGAAACAAGTTTTAGGTATTTTTTTCTTAATGCAATATTTCTATCATGAACACATGCATCAGCTGATAAAAGCCAGAATATATCTTACTTTGGGTTTTGATCTGAAAACATTTAAAACCATTTCTAATCTTCATTGAGCAACCAAAACTATTGATAATAAATAATATGCTTTGTTCTTTACATTTGCATCAAGCACAAGTCAATAAGTCATTAGGACCAACAAGAAAGAAGCAAAAGGTTATTTGCATTGTTTGTTAGGCCCACCTCGAGCTCCATGAAGTCTCCTAGCCCCACAACACGATCTACATGCAGACGAGTTTGCCCCAGCAGGTAAAGGTGGCGAGTCTTGAGCACGCGACCTCGCACTCCTAGGCATGCAGTCAGCAGATCCTGAAGAGGCTGCAAGCCTCCCTCCACACTGCTGCCTTGCACCTGTATCATCATTAGATATGATATGACAGGGACGAATATTGCTAAGTTTTTTTGCTAGTTTGTAATATCAAGAATAAAGACATAAATGAAAATATGATGCCAACGAACTTAGAACACTAAATAATTCATGACAAATTTGGTAAAACTAATTATAATATACCTATATATAATTCAATTACTCAGAATTAATCCCTAATTACTAAAGATGTCAAAATGGCTCAAATTTACTGATATTCAAATTAGACTATTGATGGACTAAAACGATGTAACAGATGAGATGTTGTGATTAATTAATGATTAGATGAAAAGTAAAGAGTCCTTACACAAAAATCCAAAATTCTCTAATCATGCAAGCAGTAGCTTTTACTGGCTGAAAGTACAAATTTAGCCAAAATAGATGTATATACAGTAATGTCCAGTAATGTAGTGAAAGAATTATGTTCAAACTAAGCATAAAATTCATTCCAAGCAATAGAAATAAATGTGAAATTTTTCAAAATTATTTGTCATAAATTGTGAGTACGTATTACCAGGTAGAAGCTGCTGGTCTTAGGCCCAGGTGTGTCAGGACGGTCATAGTATATCAACTGCTCCTCCACTTTTCCTTCCTGAAAGATAAAATCTAACTTCAGGATATCTACAATAGTTGTCAATTTAAATACCTACTCAGTGAAGAAAATAATATTTTCATTTATAATATAGGCTACAGTTTTACAACAGCCAGCCTGAGGTTCACAGTAGACATTTTCATTTATTTCTTCATGGTTGCTTCAAAAATGTGCAAGTTTTTGCTTCAATGATAATGATATACATACTTAATGATAATGATGCCTTACTATATAAGGCATCATTATACTATGTCTTTTAATTTGTAAATCACATTATAATAGTGATTTTCAAATTAAAAGTAAGATATCAATTCAACAGTAAGATTCTTTCAGTAAATTGTCTTTTTAGCGCATCTTCTCATTTAGGGAATAAATGCACTATTGTGCTCGCCATGTCCGTCTGTCCATCCGTGGCCTCAAGTTTTCGTCGACCAGAAAATGCGCTCTCTGTCACTCACTGCAGTGAGTACTGAGTTATATTTTCTAATATCTACCTATACAAATTTTTTCACATAACCACCTTTCTTTCTCAAAAAAAAGGGGGATTAACAGGCCATAAATGAGAAATTATTTTAGAATGTTTTGAAAGAAGCTGGGCTAAGCTTCCCCTATTTAGAACTTTTTGGTTGATTCAAATTTTTTGCAATCAGCCACAGACCGTTGTTGACCTTCAATGGAACTTGGTTGTCATGATATTTAAAGCTACTATAACCCAGTAAAAACAAGATATTTTATAAACGGTATTAGCAATAATAATGAAATTAAATAAAAGTAGCAATAATAATTAAATTAAATAAAAGTAGCAATAATAATTATCAAAAATATTTAAATATTGGTCATCACTTATGTACAACAAAATGTAATTCTAACTAGCATTATATGTACGGTACTTTATATTGTTAAAAAAGATTAGGGGTTTACTAGAATGGGCTTACTTATTTGAGGTATGGCACTACAGATATTCATGGATGTTTGGGCAAATATTCAAATGTCAGAAGTTTTTGCATTAGAAAGTTACTACCTATGAACTAAAATATTTTTCTCAGAGAAAGTATACATGTATAGTAAGACTTTTTAAAATTAGTACAGATAAATTTAATATAGAAGAGAAATAAAAAGAATATGAAGCTCTTAATTGTGTCAGTGAAATGTCAAGTTATGTTTTCCTTCCATGACACTGTAGCTGGCATACCTTATCTTGACTTAATTGCTACAAAAATAGGTTATATATATAAATCATGCCATGATGCTAATGAAAAAAAAAAGAAATTTTGTTGTGCTTCTGAGTTGATTATCAAATAATTTGAAATCATATCTTAATTAAAATATATTTATTGTTATTAATAGGGCTCAATACAATAGGTAGTAGTATAGTGCAAATAATGTTAAATTACCAGTTGACAAATATGATATAAAATCAAAGTTTAGGCCTAATAATAGTATAAACTTGCAACTATAATTTGCAAAAGGTAATATTTTGTATTATAATATAGAGCACAACTATAACAATTGTGTAATATTTTTCATAAAAAAATTAGGCCCTCATGCTAATTGAGTAAAAATTAAAGAAAAATGAATTAATTTAGCAATATCAACTGCATATTCTGTTTTTCAGTATCAATTTCATTCGACTACTGTCAATGCCACTAACTTTGCCACAGCATTTAAATTGGTAAGAGAGCATTGAGGGAGGGAAGGCAGAGGTGACCATGCCAAATGCTTTCATACATTGTTTCAGTTTTTTAGGATATTGACATGTATAACTTAATAATAACTAAATATTTTAGTCTATTAGGATTGTACTGAATAGTACCTGTTAATTGAACCCTTTTTAGCTGCTGAGCCTAACATGAACTTTAATTTTTTCTTCAAGCTAGTAAATGATTTTTATGCAGCATGAATGACCAATATACCTAAAGGTCTTGACCAGAGGTCAGCACTCACTCAATTTCAAATTTCATGCATGTTGCTGTTGCCAGCCTTAGGATTGTTGCGAAATGCTTTTAATTTAACTTTTTGTTAACTGCTGAATGTGATGTGAACTTTCAATTTTTTGACACTAGTAAAAGTTTTTTATGCCATGTGAGTGATGGATCTAAAGGTCTTGAGCAGAAATAAGTAAGCACCATTTTCTTTGATTCAAAATTATTAAGTCAAACACACACATTCACCTCAAAACATAAAAGTTTCCATAAGGGTTTCTAAATTTGAAAAGCCACATCTAGTCCTTTTGAATTCCAATTCAAAAGAAACAATCTATTTTTGCAACAAAAAACTGACTAGTGACTAAGTGATAAAGTGAGCCACAACATTCTGTCACAATCAAAATTCTTCTTAGCAAAATCAAACACCAAAAATTGAATTTCTGATATACCTAGTAGTATATGGTTTTTATTGACAAGTGGCAAATTAAGTGCACTACCCAACTACTATAGCCACCTGTGAAGCTCAGGTACCACCACTGCCACCGGCCCAGACTCCCTCACTTTCTTACACCTATGTCACCTGGGTCCCAGAGGCATTCAGTACCTTACCCAACTATTTAATCTGTCCCTTGCCAATGCTGCCATCCCTTCCATCTGGAAGTCAGCTACAATCATTGTCATTCCAAAGCCAGGCAAACCTCCATCCATCAGCTACTCATACTGGCCCATTTCCTCCTGTGCCCATCTGTGAAGGTGCTGGAGAATCTGCCCCTCCCCTCCCTCAATGCAGCGCTTCCACTGGTGGACTCCCGTCTCCCAGCAAAGTTTCTGTTCCTTCCACTCAACAACATCTGCCCTACTTCCTCTAACCCAGACCATAGCTACAGGTTTCAACCAGCCCCACCTACCAACAAGGACAATAGCAATGGCAATAGATTTCAGCAAGGCATTTGGCACTGTGCCTCACGCCCAGCTCATCTCTCACAATCCCTCCACTCCCCTCTATGCCAATAGCACCCGCTGGCTGAACTCCATCAGAGGCAAGTTGGCCAGGTGCTCCTACAACAGCTGCATCTCCTCCCCACCTCCAGTCCATTCTAGCATCCCACAAGGCTCCGTCATCTCACCCATCCTCTTCAATTCCTACGTTTCAGACTTCCCTCAGTCCGCCCCTTTAATCACCTCCTATGCCGACAACTTCACAGCTGTTGCAGGGGCCATGCGGATCGCCTATGCTTCTGCAGTCATCTCCTCCCACTCTTCTGATGTTGCAGCATGGGCTTGTCGGAAGAAGTTTCTGTATCTATACCCAAATCCCACACCACTTTTTTCACCTTTGACACCCATCAATCGTAAACAGACCCTCATGTCAGCTGGGAGGGGTCTGACATTCCACTCTGTCAGACCCTGAAGAGTGAAGATCCTCAGGGTCACTTCTGACCCCCACTTCACCTTCTCCCACATGTTGCTGCAATATGTCAGAGAGCCCACCTGCACCTCAGCATCCTCAAATCTCTTGCTGGAACCAGCTGGGGTCAGCAGAAGGAAAACCTCATAATGACTTTCAAGACTCATATTAAGTCTCTCATCACCTACGCTGCCCCAGTGTGGTTCCCTAATGCCTCTCCTTTGGCAATCTAAGTTGCAAACCATCCAGAATTCTTCTCTCCGCATAGCCATGGGATCTCTTCAAATAGCCTCTGCTTCCCAGTTCCCACCTGCACAGCAAAGCTGAGGTCTTACCCATGGCCAAACACCTCTCTCTGCACAGTACCTTGCTAGTGGCCTATGATCACACCATCCCAGCTGCTCTATCATCACCCAGACATTGAGACCCCATTCCATGAAGCACACGCTCCAGACCCACTTTCTCCCTTCAGTCTCACCTGCTGGAGGGGGCCAGGGGGGTCCCTACCCCATGGGCCCCAACTCCTACTCCACTGCCCTCAGCACCCTTCAGCCTGCACAGCTCTGCTGTCTCCTACCTGGCCTCAGCAGCTCCTAACAAGGTTTTGCTGCTCCCTGACCCCTCTATCTCATCCAGCAAGCAATCTCTCCCCAGAGCAGCCAGAGCCCAGAAGCACCCTTTCCCAGCTTTGCTCAGCTACTCTACTCATCACACCTCAACAGGCTCAACTTGTACCTTGCCTGCATTGCAGCAGCAAATAGCCCTTTCTGCTTTGAGTGTGGCATGATTATTCACACTACCCATCACCTCTTCAGCTATCCATCACACCCTACCTTGCTAACCCCACTGGTCTAACCCTGGACCAACTGCAGCATTCTTCTCATCACTCCCATCTTTCTCTGACATCCTTGGAGGCTTGCAGTGGATCCTCTGCTCCCTCCTCCTAGGCTCCTTCTCCTGGAGGCTGCAGCTGCCCCCTTTGCTGGGGTGCCAACTGCCCCCGGTGCCACGGCCACCGAGCGGCAGTTCCTGGCTGACCTGGCAGTAGCAAGTTAGCAACTAATCATAGCCACCAGCTTGGCTATCCAAACTGGCACCAATGCCAGCTGGCAGCTATGATTGGCTATCCAAACTGGCACCAATGCCAGGTGGCAGCTACCAGCTGGCAGCTACCTAGTGGCTAGTGCTTGAAAATGATTTTATATAGAGATGACAGATCTTAGCTAGATAAGCTAGTCCTGACCAGTTTCTAACAGATCTTAGTCCTGATCAGTTTTTAGTTTTTACCAGGTCCTATGACCTATGCTAAGCACATACTGACATGCTAACTTGCTAAGCAATAGTAAGCATCAATGCATGTCAGTATGTGCAGTCTCAGACTCTCAGTGCCCAGTGGCCAGTGCAGTGTTGTGATAATGGATGTTTCACAAAATATCATAAAAATTTTTTCTTACATTTTAAACAAGACAGGGATAAAAGGACCTTGCTTATAGCTAGTTATAATTGTTTAATAGTACCTAATATGGGACAGTAATGATAAATCAGCAGCAATTACACTTTATACAACACAATATTTTTGCATGGGGAAAGAATAGGGTAGTACCGTACCTCGGTCTTCTTTCTTAGCTTCAAACGACCTTTTGGAACATCAAAGAATGTATCTTCCTGAAGAATTATTATGGCACTAGTATTGGAAACCTCTTTAGCAATGGTGCAAAAGCTAACAAAATCGCGAATGGTCGCTTTAATTTCCACATTGCAATTAGGCGTTTTAGCTACGTTCATATTAACAACAAGGCAAAATTTTCAATTCACGTAGTCTGATGTAGAAACTTACAGCAAGTCAGCAACCAGCGCAGTGCCACAGTGGCACACGAGTGAGTGCCGATTTCAACTTTGCGACTGCCGTTAGCGTCAATGGCTCAATGCTGGAACGATCTAATAACGATTTAGCGAGTTTTGTTTAGAACGTTCTAAACAAAACTAAATGGAATCTTTCTAGCATGAATTCAAAACAGCTTCGTAGTCATCATGTGATTATCGAATTATACAACTCGTAGTTCTTACTACTAGGTGCTACCGGCAACACTTCTCAACTACTCCCAAATCCTAACACATCACCAACAATTTTATTTTAATGTCTTCTGAATGACTGAATCAGCAAACCAAGCTAACCTAACTTAAAGAGATTCAAAAGTCCCGCGCATCACCGGTCGCGCATCAAATCATCAAATGTAGTGCAGCAAAATCCCGAGTTCCATTTTCGAATAAAATATTCTTATTTTCTATCAATTAGCAAAACTGCTTAGGGAGTTTACGTCGTTTTCACTTTTAATCATGGTTGAAATAATTTAAATATGGTAATGGAATTAGTTCAACTATTGTTTTCACATTCACTCATTAGTCTTTAACTTCCAACTATCATCATCCGTCCGATCATCTTTACGTTCCTCTCATAGTCATATCTCTATTGTTTATTTTATTTTCACAATGATTCAAACATCTCACAATGATTCAAACATCTCACAATGATTTAAACATCTCACAATGATTCAAACGGTACTGACTAAAACCCGGACCCGGACCGGTCCGCCGGACCCGGAAAGAGTGACTAAAACCCGGACCCGGACCGGTCCGGCGGACAAGGTTCAAAAAAATAAAAGGCTGCAAATCATCTGAAACGTCGAGAAAACTTTTAATTTTACATATAAAATTTTTATATTTACTTAGAAAAATTTCGTCGCACCAACATATTCGGGTCATAGAAAAGTTCACTTCTCGATCGAACTAATCGATAGAGAATCTTCTGAAACGTCCAGAAAACATAAAACTTTGGTATCGAATTTTTGAAAATTTACTTAGAAATATTTCACTTCAGGTCCGGGGAGCCCCGGACCAAGTGACTTAAACCCGGACGGCCGGACCCATATATACGGGTCACAGAAAAGTTCACTTCTCGATTGAACTAATCGATAGAGAATGTTCTGAAACGTCCAGAAAACATAAAACATTTGTATCGAATTTTTGACCATGTACTCCTATGCGTGCCTGGTGCCTTGTATGTGTGCCTACTGCCTGCATTAACTGTGAATTTACGTGAATGTAACGAATCGGCACCTCAAAATGTGCATCTGTTTTCAGACCGCAGAGTTTTATCTAGCATTTCGTATTTTAAAAGAAAATCAATCTTTTGATTTCTCATTAAATTTTTATTTGTCCTCTTGTAACCAACTTGCCCTACCTCAGATCCTTCGAACAAATTAATATTGGTAATTAATATTTATTTAGCTTCATTCGTTTCAAGATAAACCGATTCCAAGGTCAATAATATTAGGGTACCCTACTGGGTCTAGGTATAAGGAGAAAATCGTCACGATTATTTTCTGAAATGAAACTCAATTTATACAGTGTATAAATGGAGTTTCATTCATTTAAACAATTGAATATGTGAAAATAAAACAAGAAGCGACTGTATTAACTATATATGTATCTATAAATTCTAAGTACTTTATAAGAGTTTAAGCGAAAGAATGAGAAAGTACTATAGGTTGTGAGTGCGAAATTCGGACATGAGAGCAGAAAAATTGATCCGAGCGGTAATTGAATTGAATGTCAAATTTAAAAATTCAAATTTACAAACGTCATATACCAAATGACTTCGAAATAGTTTCACATTAACTTAATCACAGTTGATAACACAATTGCTATGATCATTCTTAGACAAGTCCATTCATGCATAGAATATAGATATCAAATATCACATAGACTTTTATTCCTATTAAACATTGGCGCTTGATAAATATGATTACAATGAACCTTGGTTCTTTAAATAAGCATTGAATCTTTAGAACTTCATTTCTAACCAGTTCAATCATTTACACTGACGGTATTATGAGCTAAAAGTAAAACATAATATTTAAAAATAAGATATAACGTGAACAAAGAAAGTTGTTCATTAGAGCACAAATAATTATTCATTGGGGCACATTTGACCATTTCGAAATAAATTAATAAATAATTTTAACCATTCAGGGGTGCGGCCACTTACTACGTAATAATATAGGCGAATATATACGTACGTTATTGATCAGTTTAATTATAGGAGAAGAATTATTTAATCGAACGATGGACACAAGTAAGAGATGTTTTCGTCATTTTGTCTTTGAACTCAATATAGCACAAACATATCTAGCGGCAAGACGATTTTGAGCGTTTATTGAGACTTCGTAACTGTTATAGCTTTGATCGACGAAAATTCACACGAACACTGAAATTAGTCACGAGATGATATTAATTGAATCAAAACTTTGTTAAACTGCCATAATAATTATACCGAGCCTCCTTCATGCTAATTTCGGCTACAACGCAATCAAGAATATAACGAGTTGCCATTTGCCATCAGTTCATTAATTCGCTCAATACTCGAATACAAAAGTAAGCTTCATATATCAACACTGAAGACATTTCATTAAAACTCAGGCCAATATGTATTAAGTACATTTAAAAATGTTGCGATCCTTGCCTCACTCCGACATACTGCAACAAAATAATATTTGCAGTACAATTGAATTTTTGAAATAAAGTTTCGTTAATGGCGTGTCAGCAAGTTGCACTCAAAGTGTTTGCCCCAGGAAGCAAAAATTGCTATTATAGAGAGGTTGTTTTGGCGACCACATGAAGAAGCACACGCCAGTTTGCCGCTCTCAAGCTTGTGTCATAAATCAATCTTGTGGTCGAGTGCGGGGAACACAGTAAGCATGAGGTGGTAACATTCCTGAGAATATTTAATAATAGTGAGCATACGTTCAAAATTAATAGAACGTGTTACGTTGCTAATTATTTATCGTTCATATATGCCATGACAACAGTAAACATGACGAAGACAACTGAGAAATTTTAAATATAAATATATACAAGAGAAATTGAAATCTTGTGTAGAGTTACGTATATCGACATGGAAGTATCATATTATAACGCATTTTCTGACCGGCATTTCATTATTCTGACCGTAATTATATATCCATTTTCTGACCGGCAACGCTTGCTGCTGCCATCAGTCTTGATCGAGTCAAAACAGCAATTTCCGACATCGACATGTTCGTTCGTACAAAGCTAACACTGTGAGATCAGTGGCATTGAAAAGAGTGGAATTCGTCTTGAAGTTGATGCATTAAAAGCTGAGTATGGTTCGCGAATAATATCTGAGTTCAGGCAATTTCTACCCTACAGCATAAGCGTTTGCAAACGTTTACCTAAAATTCGACATGTTTGCTGAGAGCTTATTACTTAGAACGTATTCAGATTACAAAAAATCATTTATTCTGCAATTGATTTTTAGCGACACCTATTTAACGATAAGTGAAGCGATACCTATTTTTCACTAGTCAGGGTCTAGTTTTAATCACTTTGTATGGAGTTCCCAAGATCAGACATGAAATTTCATTAAGTAAAAGGACGCAAAGTTTGCTTTAAATGTTTAATGTTCCCTGGACGTTTCATAACATTCTCTATCGAATTTCTTCTGAATTTCTATTATTAAAATGTTGATAAAAATTAGTATTAAACATACTATTAAAACCCATATTGACAGTATTATAGAAATTATTATAAAATTATTATTGGAAATATTGAAAGTATGAACATAATTTTTAATATAACTATAATTGTAATATAATAATTGAATTGTTATTAGATTATTACATTTATTATTTAAAATATTATTGAAATTCTTAATAACATTATTATTAACAATATGATTAATAATATTATTGAAATAATTTCAATAATAATTTTAACATGTATTTAAATAATAATTTTGATAATAAACTCAATCAGAATTTTAATAAGAATTTCAATAACATATTAAGTAGAATTTTTTATACTAACCTTTGATAATTTTAATATAATATTTAATAATATTTTTAATAACATTTTGAATAATAACTTCAGTAATACTTTTTATAATAATTGTAATAATATTTTTTTAATCTTTTCATTCATGATATCGCCTCCTCTTTCAATGTGAGCTGTAAGATTTTTGCCGACGACGCCGTGTTCTATCGCTCGAAATTTGCGAGCTTTATCAAATGTTTTACCTTTCTCTTCATTAAAAACGATTTTATTTGCATTGTCTTATCAAAACTATCAAGCACTTTAGTAATCTGGAGTGATGTAACTTTTAATACAAAAACGGAACATCACATTACTTAATAAATCGTTGCGTTCTATGCTTAGGGTTAGGTATGATGATAATACCTCCCTTGACATGCACTAGCGAATTATATAGGCAGTCGAAAATTTAAAACTTGACGATATGTTCAGATTTCAACTTTAAAAATTCATGAATATAGCACTTTGTCATGATGAATGTCTTTATAAATCTGCTTTCGCCCCTCTTGTTCCCCAAAATTTTTACAAAACCGCGTTCGATTTAACTTGCCACCAGTTCGTTTAGTAATAGCAAGAAGCTATACCGTTTTTAATTGTGTCAAATATTTTAACAAATAGCCAGATGAGTTCAAACAAGATTGCTCCAAAATGTCTCTAAAAATTAAATTTCGTCATCTAAAATTAACCAGTATTAATTAGATTTCGAATATTACGCAAGTTTCAAGCATTCTGGTATGATAAGCCGTTGGGTTCAATTTTTGCCAAGTCAGAACTATCGCGAGCTGAACTCTTTGCCCGTGCTTCTAGTACTAAATCTACTGATAATTAAAACAGCTAATATTTTTATAGTTTATTCTACTGATAGAGATTATCTCTGCGGTCTGAAAACAGATGCACATTTTGAGGTGCCGATTCGTTACATTCACGTAAATTCACAGTTAATGCAGGCAGTAGGCACACATACAAGGCACCAGGCACGCATAGGAGTACATGGTCAAAAATTCGATACAAATGTTTTATTTTTTCTGGACGTTTCAGAACATTCTCTATCGATTAGTTCCATCGAGAAGTGAACTTTTCTGTGACCCGAATATATGGGTCCGGGTTTTAGTCACTTGGTCCGGGGCTCTCCGGACCTGAAGTGAAATTTGTCCAAGTAAATTTTCGAAAATTCGATACCAAAGTTTTATGTTTTCTGGACGTTTTAGTAGATTCTCTATCGATTAGTTCGATCGAGAAGTGAACTTTTCTGTGACCCGAATATGTTGGTTGGTGACCCGAAGTAAATATAAAAAATTTTATATGTAAAATTAAAAGTTTTCTCGACGTTTCAGATGATTTGCAGCCTTTTATTTTTTTGAACCTGGTCCGCCGGACCGGTCCGGGTCCGGGTTTTAGTCAGTCGGTCCGGGTCCGGGTTTTAGTCAGTACCTGATTCAAACATCTCACAATGGTTCAAGCATCTCACAATGATTCAAACATCTCACAATGTCACCACTCACCCCACCACCACTCACCCCACCAAGCCTGGCTTAAATACAAGACCATTTCAGGACCCGCTTGCCTTACCAAATATTATTATATCTTATC